TCCTTTAATTTTTTTTTTTTTTTGCGCGTCCGCGTGCGTGCTTGTCTTCCGCGTGTCTCCCGATACGTGACAGCGTGTATACGCACGCGCGTGGCCTTCAAAAGCGTATAATATAGACACCGAGATTTCGATCTACAAGATATTCGACCCTGTTTTCCGGCTTGTGTACCAATGATGGCTTTTTTTTTCTCTCGAGCTAAATGCTTAATTGCCATCGAAGGGAAGGGGATTGTTTTTTGCCGACATGCGTGACCATCAGGGATCGGGAGCAAAACATTGAAGCGGATCTCCAAACCCAATGGCTCGGCACACCTGCAAGGGTGGGATCCACACGCGAAGAAGGCGATTCCACGAAAAATCCAGGACCGCGCCGATTTTATGCAACAACGAAATACACACACCCCGTGCAACTGTACACAATAGAAACTCCACCTCGCCTGTGTCCCAAACACGTTTGCAATACGGTACGCCTATACCTATGTAGACACATAACGTTTGATCGACTGGCGAATGAATAATCGTCGATGCGTATATGGGTGCCAGGCGAACGCAGCTATATATACATGATTGCGAAACGGGCGCGATAAGCATCTCGGACCATACAGGTGTATATATAGTATATTTGTTGTACTCTATGTATCGTAACGGTGTGTGTTGCAAAAGTGACAGAGTGAAAACCATACCGTGTGTAAGTGTATACGATGCACTGTTGTATATAGCGCCGCGTTGTTGTTATTACGTGCTCCGCGAGCAATTTGCCGGTGCCGTGCGCGTCAACGTAATTGTTACGTGATCGGTGCTCGATATGCGCTGCTGGACTTTTCGTTTTGGGTTGGATGTACTTGACTCTGCACGTGTGTGTCTTTTGCGATATGGTGTAGCTTTTGATGCTTTTTCTTCCTCTTTTGAGTTACTCAGAGTTGAGCCGAGATTTTTTATGGTCCAAGTAAACGTTGTGGTGGGGCAAAAGCTCCCGTTGTTTTTCCGAAATATTGTTCGGTTGACATGAGACTCCATTTAGATTGAAACCATCCCTTAATCACGAGGTGACCGATACACACAACGCTGTGAGTCTGAGTCGAGTGAAAATTTTAATCGACGCGTCATCAAAGTGTAGCAGATACACTGTACGTTGGTGAAGTGTGTTAGGCAAGAAAAATAGGTACTGAAAATTAAAGAGGGTCACGCGATAAGTGATACGCGAGATTATTTCTCGAAAGGGCAAAAAAAAAAAAAAAAAAAAAAAAAAAAAATGAAAATGTATTCTGAACAACACAAAAAAAGCGCTATTAGCTGGAAGTCAGCATAAATTCTTGGACATAACAGCCCCGATCACCATTTCATCTCATTGGAGTTTTGCGTATGACAGCATGCTCCTTCAGTCCTATACGTATACTTAGTATACACATGTATTGCATAATATAATTTTATACTCGACAATAAGTGTCAGCGAACAGATGGAGGGACAAGAGAGAAGAGACTTGGCATTCCACTCACAACTTCTCGTATCTCTTTTCTGTCCGTCTGTTCTATCTGTCAACTCTCAACATTATAATTTGAGAGCCCCAGCAAAAACGTTTCATGTCAATCTAGCTGGCATGAATTTAATGGCGACTGTCACAGTGCTGTGCCAAGTTGCATGTTGCGTAGGTGCTGCTTACTTTTATATGAAAAACGATATCGCTCTAGTTTCTCTTTTATATTTTTTATACAAGTCTATGATGGTGCTGAAATAGGTTACGCGACACGTACTGAAAATGTACATTGTAGATTACACAAATGTCGTATCAACAGGACGTGGATACGTCAAACTGAGTCGACTCAAAACTGCATATACGCGAGTCGAAATCACACATACATACACACACTTTTAATTTAAAAAAATTTACCTATGAACGGTCTGTGTAAAAAAAAGTTTAATTAGAGACTTACTACGTGTATAGTGTATTAGTTTTCATTCGTTACGTCGATAATAATTTTTGTTTCTAACAAACTTAATAACAATGGAGTGTCCAATTTTTGAGAGTGAAAATATTCTGAGGGTACGCGATTCCTTAATACTAGACCTAGGCATAGAAATATCTTAGAACCACATGAATTTTCGTAACTTTATTAATTAAAAGCTGTATTGTCTTTGCAGTTTTTAGAAATCGTTATTTACATCTAATTTATATTTTATCAGCAAATTCGAAGTAACAAATCGTTATAATCGAAGTAACAAAATAATTATGTTTCTACGGATTCCTGAATTTTCGTTGTACTTTTAAATACACGTACACAACAATTCTTGACATTATTGAGGATGATAATACATACACAATTATTAATCATATAAACATTGACATTGATTTTTGTATTGTTACTATCATTAATATCATATATGCAATATGATCCTGCAAAGCATGTTTTGTTAATAAACTTCCGCTAAATAGAAATCCTTTACGATAAGGTCACGTTAAAAGGATTATTTTTTAAGATACTCTTGCAAGTACGCTTCAATTAATTTGTTCACCAGCCTTACTGCACTATGCAAATAATACCACTGTAATGTTACATGCTGTTTTCTAAATCGCTTTAAAATTTTGATTATGTCAAAACATTCACTCATGTATTAATTAGACTGCAAGATCGTCGGATGTATTTTTATCTCCCGGTACCTTTTACAAAAGACTACTTAATAGTAAGTAGAAAAATCCAATACCAAATGTAGACCTTCTAAATAAAGATTAAATATTGAGGA